GTTTCATGAGGTCCCATTTATTGTTGATCTCAGTGGCTGTGTTAACAGCATTCTTCTGTTCAGAAAGTATTTTTTCTTTTCCAATGTGTTCAAGGCTATTCTCCATTTTCTTTTCTATCAGGTTAAGTGTGTCTGGTTTTATGTTGAAGTCTTTGATCCATTTTGAGTTTTCTGCAGGTGATAAATATGGATCTATTTGCATTCAGTGTTCCTTCTGTGTCTGTTTTGTGGAATAATTTGGAGTATTGGTGTTAATTCTTCTTTGAAAGTCTAGTAGAATTCTGCACTAAAACCCATGTGCCCTGAACTTTTTTTAAAAGTTGTCTTATAATTTCTGCTTCTAATTCCTTAGAGGTTATAGGTCTGTTTAAGCTTTCTATTCTTGATTTAACTTTGGCAAATGGTATACACTGAGAAAATTATCCATTTTTTTAGATTTTTCTAATTTGATGGAATACATGTTTTTAAAGTATGTCCTTATGATTCTTTGGATTTCTCTGGTGTCTGTTGTTTTATTCCCCTCTTCATTTCTAATTTTGTTAATTTGAATACTCTCTCTCAACCTTTCAGTTAATTTAGATAAGGGTTTGCCAATCTTATTGATTTTCTCAAAGAACCAACTCTTTGTTTTATTGATTCTTTGTATTTTTGTTTCTATTTTATTAATTTCAGCCTCCAGTTTGACTGTCTTTCCCTCTACTCCTCTTGTGTGTGATTACTTCTTATTGTTATAGAGATTTTGGGTGTGATGCTAAGTTACTAATATGGGATCACTGCAGTCTTTATGTAGGCACTTAGCACTGTGAACTTTTCTCTTAGCACCTCTTTTATTGTATCCTATAAGTTTGGGTTTGCTGTGTATTCATTTTCATTGAATTCTAGAAAGTCTTTAATTTCTGTTTTGACCTAGTTTTCAATCAGCAGAGAGTTGTTTAGTTTCCATGAGTTTGTAAGCTTTCTGTTGTTGATATCCACCTTTAATCCATGGTGATCTGATAGGATGTAAGGGGTTATTTCAATTTTCTTGTATCTGTTGAGACTTCTCAGGTATATAGTCTTTTGTGTTTGGGTGAAAATGTTCTATAAATATGTTAGGTCTATTTGGTTTATGTCTGTTAGCTCCAGTACTTCTGTTTACTTTTTGTCTGGATAACCTGTTGATTGGTGAGAGTGGGATATTGAAATCTCCCACTAGCTGTGTGCTAGAGTAATTTAAACTGTAGTGGTGTTTCTTTTTACAAACTTGGTGGTTGAGGCATAGCTGTTAGGAATCTTAATGTCATTTTAGTGGATTTTACATTTGATGAGTATCAAGTATTCTTCTCTATTTCTTTTGATAAGTTTTGTTTTGAAGTCTATTTTGTTAGATTAAAATTTTTTTCAAGACAGGGTTTCCCTGTGTAGCTTTGGAGCCTGTCCTTGAACTAGCTCTTGTCTCGAACTCAGATATGCCTGCCTCTGCCTCCCAAGTGCTGGATTAAAGGCGTCTGCCACCACCACCCAGATTATTTTGTTAGATATTAAGATGGCCACACCAGCTAGTTTTTAAGGTCCATTTGCTTGGAATATCTCTTGGAACCCTTTACTCTTGGGTAATGTTTATCCTTGATGTTGAGCTGTATTTCTTGGATGCTGCAGAAGAATGAATCCTGATTTCACATCCATTGTGTTAGTATGTGTCTTTCTATTGGGGAACTGAGACTACTGATATCGATATCGAGAGATACCAATGACCAATGTTTTTGCTGTTATTTTGTTATTGTTGGTGTGTGTGTATACTTTTTCTTTTTTTAAATGATTTTGCTGGTCTAAGATGATTTATTCCCTGCATTTTCCTGGGTATATTTAACATCTGTAGGTTGGAATTCTCCTTCTAGTTCCTTTTGTCAGGCTAGTTTTGTAGATATTATTTGTATTTGACTTCATCATGGAATATCATGGCTTTCTTTAATGGATTTATTCATTTTCCCAATTGTCTGTTTTCTTATTTTTGTTAGTGATTTATTCATTTCCTCTTTAAGGAGCTCTATCATCTTCATGTAGTTGGTTATAAGGTCTTTCCTGAGCTTCAACTATGCTGGAATAGGCTAGCTGGGCTGTATTGTCCTGGCTGTTACTGTGTTTTTATGCTGTTGTCTACTCACCTGGGTTCGGGATGATTATAGGCTTAGCCACCATTTCTATTTGATAACAGATTGCTGACATCCATATCCTATGTTACAAATTGGTGGGGAAGATAGATAATACTCAGCTCAGGTCATATAGTAACTTGGTGCCCCATTATCAAACTTTCAGGTTCCACTAAGGCCCAATGGCAGCCAGCTGTGGTGGTATGAATGAAAAGGACTCATGTAAGATCCTCCATAGGGAGGGACACTATCAGGACATGTGGCCTTGGAAGGAAATGTGTCACTGGGGTTGGGCTTTGAGGTTCCAAAGCTCAAGCCAGACCCAGGGTCATTTTCTGTTCCTGCTGATTCAGATGTAGAACTCTTGGCTCCATCTCCAGCACGATGTCTGCCTACATGCATAGTGCCATGCTTCCTGCCATGATGATGATGGACTAAACTAATTATGAGCCATTTCCTTTCTAAGAGTTGCTGTGGTCATAGAAACCCTAACTAAGACACAGGCCAAGCACAGTTTCCCAAAGGGAGAATATCTGTCTGTAGATGACAGTAGAGACTTGCTCCAAAATTCCAGAGGTCTCTTTTATTCACATATAAGGGCCTGGCAAAGGTTCCGAATAGCATTCCTATCTGCCACTGATACCTCAAGTACCATCAGGTCTGCCAGGTCATATAGTCTTAGACATAGAACAGTCTACACAGCATCCTGGACCTGTTGGAGAGCCTTCTCCTGTTTGAGGCCCTACTTAAATCCAGCAGCTAAGTTACTTGGTACATGGGCCAGAGCGACACACCCATGTGAGGAATGTGCTGTTTCCAGAATCCAAATGGGTCCACTAAACATTGTGCTTCTTCCTTGGTGGTGGGATGGGCCAGGTGCAATAACTTATCCTTCATCTTAGAAGGGGCGTATCTTCATTCCCCACACCACTGGCCTCCTAAGAATTTCACTGTGATGCAGGCCCTTGAATTTTGGTTGGATTTATTCCCATCCTCTGATACATATATGCATTACCAACGAGTCTAAAGTAGCTTCTACCTCCTGCTTATTTGGTCCAATTGGCATAATGTCTTCAATAACAGTGAACCAATGTGGCATTTTGTGGGAGACAATCAAGATCCCTTCTAGTTAAGTTATGCCAGAGGACTGGAGAGTTACTCCTGAAGTAAAACTGTAAAGCTATACAGTCTAGCCAACTGAAAGCAAATTGCTTCTGGTGGTCCTTATATACAGGTTCCGAGGGAAAGGCATTTGCTTGATTTGAAGATAGAGTGTTTACCTTGGTGGAGTTGTCTCTGCAGAGCACTGAAAGTGGGCCCACTTCACTGTGCAGGGAACTGTGATACACGTTCTGGCTATGAGGTGCTCAAGTGTAGCTAGCCTTACAGTGGAAGTGGCGAACTCTCTGAACAATGGAGGATCTCCTCTAGTACAGCTGATGCCACTTCAGCTGCTATCAAGAGTCTCTGGATTGGCCACCTCGGCAGTGGTGAGGGGACTGAAGAGCTTCTCTGACTAGTTGGTCAGTGGTACAGATGCAGAAAGAAGTTGGGTGGGATGTGGTGACAGGGAACGCAGTCCTCCCTCTGCAATGTTTGCCCGTCCTGACAGCATGGAGGAGAGGCAGTGGGGACCCTGTACACGGCAGGAGGTAGCACGGTGCTCCTAAGAGGCAGTGCACATCCAGGAGCAGGACTACGACTGCTCAACGGAGCCCATGGCACTTTCTTCTGCTTTTGATCCTTCAGATGTAGTATGTGCCGAGAAACACGAGACAGTGGGATCTACAGTACTGGTCAAGGCTCCTCAGCCACCCGAGAACAGAGAAGCAGCGGAAGCCATGTTTCTCCCACCCTGTCAGTCAGATACTGTGTGAGGCACAGGGGGAAGGTGACGGCTGAAGTAAGAACTGTGGTGTTCCCTGCTCCTTCTGTAGTGGTGCTCTTCCAGGACAGGGCTCTGATTACAGCTGAGGAAAACGGCATTGAAGTGAGCTGTGGTGGCACAAGCCTTTAATCAGGAAAATAGGGGTAGGTGAATCTCCATGAATTCAAAGCCAGCCTAGTTTATATTAAATGAGCTCCTGGACGGCCAGGGTAAATAGAGAAACAAAAACCAAACCTACAACCAAAATAAACATTAGAAAGCAAAACAACAGCAAGGCCCAAAACAAAACTCAAAATAGCAGCTATGCACGCCTGTCAGGGCAACAGCTAAAGCTACTGGGTTGTTCAATTCTCTCTTTAGCAGGCACCGTGGGCAGGGCAAGTGCTGGGGGCATAGGGAACCTTCTCTGTGATAGCCAGGCACAGCAAGGGGACACCTGTCTTCAGTCCTAACACAGGCCAGTTCTACACACTGCTAACCATGTCCTTGGTCTCAGATGACAAATGCCCTATTCTCCCAATTTGTACATTCTGTTGTACCACGCTGGAGTCACAAGTAGCTAACCCAAGTCAGTAATATCTGTAGTTTCAGAGAGGTTCTGGCCTCTTGACCAGTCTAAAATAGTTCATTTCCAAAGATGACTTCTGTCTGCAGCACCCTGGGTACACACTACAAGATGTGAAATCACCTTCCAAAGGCAGACTTCCCCAATTTCCTTCTTACTGACTGCAAAGTTCTCACATTCGTTTCAAATGATACATTGCACACACTTGTCTTTTTATAAGTGTTCCCAGGTTCACCATCCACACAGAATTGAACCTGGGTCCTCTGAAGAGCAGCCAGTGCTCTTAATCTCTGAGCCATCTCTACAGCCCAGACACTACGTTTTTAAGTGGTTTATTATATAATATTTAACTGGTATCAGAAAATTCCAAGAAAGAAAGCAGTAATCATTCTTTTCAATTATAAGATGAGAAGCTATATGATTCTGGATGCTTTATTCTTTGAGAATATAAACCATTAAACTGAAATAGCAATGGGAAACAATTGTAAACTCCTGAGAATCATATTCAACATTTAACCCTTTCAAAGTCTAGCTCTAACAATTAGGTTTAAATGGAAGTGCCTTAATTTTGCATTCACAAAACGAGCTACAACATATCATACAAGTTTTTCTATGATTTTCTTCCTGTGTTCACATAAATATTTCTAATGCAACTTGATTCTTTTGTCTGTTCAAAAGAGCTATTTTAGATCACTATTGAACTGTAGTGGTTTTCCCATGAAACCTAATAGGCTTGTATCCCTATGCTGGGTATGGAAGGCACTGACTTCAGGGAAATTAGCATCTAGTCATGTGCTGTATATAACTTCTGGCAATTAGAAAACATTAAAGTGCTTGAAAAGTAGTCTACAATTATGTTCACAGAGGACAATCTATACATGTGCCAACAAAGATATTTTAAAATTAGAGTAGGATATGCATTGTTAAAATAATCAGATTTGCATTGTTGAGGCTTAAACATTGCATAGTTCTGTATTCCCCATGTCTGACTTTGCATTCAGCTGCAACACAAGAAGCTTTAAGATGCTCTGCTTTCTAAGGTAGAGTAAATCTAGAGAGCATGACTGTGCTAATCACCACACAGACCAGGTCTGGAAGTCAGCATTCCTCCATGGCACATCACCATCTACTCTCTGTACCGAGTTGACCTGTGTGTCTCTGAGTCTCTAAAGATGAGCGGTGTTCATCAACTGTAGCATATCATGGAAAGCATGAAAAATCATCTGAACTAGCTTTTTTGAATCAGTCTCCGGACACGATTTCCAGGCTGAACACGCCACCACAAACCTGTGAAATACAATACATGGATGGTTATGCCATAGGTTCAGGGCTATGATGCTAGATGTTCCATCTGGTTGCTCACACATACAATGTGAATTCTTAATGAGGCTAGGTATATGTAACCTGACACAGATAAAGACAGAGCCACAGTTACACAATACTATGGACCACGAACAACCTCTTGAGCAGGAGATTATGTTTAACACATCCAACCAACTAACCAACCAACCACCAACCACCCACCCACCCACCAACCCACCCACCTACCAACATAACCACCAACTAACCAACCAACCACAAACAAACAAACAAAACCCCACAAGAATTTTCTTCCTAAAAGTTGCAACTAGAATGGGTTACAGAATGAGCTCATGTCATTTTTTGTAATAAAATCTGACCTGTATAGCACTTGACAAGAATTGTAAAGAGACAATAGGAATAGATAAGAAACAGAGAAAAGATATTTCTACAAGAGCAAGAGAGGTCTCTCTTATGACAAGTTTTGCCTTCCACCATCTCCTACTAGATTTCCCTAATGGTACAATTCCAGGTCTGGAAAGTGAGAAAAGAGCCCCATGTGGCCCATGTTGATACCTAAGACCACATGGAAGCCCAGGGTCTGGGCCACAGCTTGTGGCCTTGTTGGAGTACGAGAGCCATGCAAATCTGGGTGGCCTGCTGTCACTTGGGGCCATGGTGTTGTCTGGGCCTGAGTTGCTGCCAAGTGCCATGTCTGGGTCCATGGCCCTACAGTAGCCATTGTCTGAGTTGATATCTGAAGCTACTGTTGCCAAGGACCCTGTGGTTGACTGGGGTCTGGTCAGCCACCCGAGACCACATTGATGTCTGAGGACCATGCTGTGGCCACTGCCACAGATCTGAGTGGCCTGTGCTGCTACCTACTGCAATAGTGACATCCGGATCAGAGCTGCAGATAAGGGTCCATGGCCCTACTGTAGCCAGGGTCTGGGATGATGTCTGTGACCACTATTACCATTGGCTGTCTTACAGATGCTTGAGTCTGGACTGCAACCTGGTGCTGTGTTGGTGTCTGAGATTAATTCTGCCACTGGAGCCACACTGATCGGAGGGCCTGTGCTGTCTCTGGGGCAATTGTGACATGTAGGCACGGCCGCGCTTAGGACCATGTCTCCATCCATGGTCCTACTGCAGCTGGGGTCTGTGTTGAAGTCAAGGCCTATGCATGCAAGCATGTGTGGTGAAATATGAGGGCCATGCTGAGCTGACCCTGCCCTTCACTGGATACCGCAGCAAGAGTTGGCCAGCACAGACGAGCTGGTCCCCGCACTTGGGAGAGATGGCCCTATTCCCAATATATGGGAGAACTGGCCCTGATGGCATGGGCATAGGAGAGCTGACTCTGCCCCTCACCTGAGGAGGGTGGCCTGGTAGCTTAGACTGACCAGCTCAGCTACCACCTCAGGCCTGCATGTCCTGCTGGAGTGTAGGAAGGGACTGCTCCTGCAGAATGATACCGACAAGAACTTCATGACTCAGGGCAGCTACAGAATATCTGAGAGGAGTTTTGGTGAGAGTCTGGTGATGATGGTATGCCAGCAACCAGAGGCCTTGAACCAGGCAGTGACTCACTGCAACGAACATTTCCAAGTAAAGCTGATTGGACAAAAGGGTATGCTGTGTGACACACCGCATCTCTAATGAAGCGGTGTTAGCGTGGCAGGAAAGATAGAGAGACAACAAGGTTTTGTTTTTAATTTTCTCTTTAAAAAAATTCTTTTAGGGGAGAACTTCAAGGGTGAGGGATAGATATGGGGGGCTGGGAGATGAGTATAATTGGGGTACATGATATGAAATTCCCAAAGATTCACTAAGGAAATTATATTTAAAAAAGAAAGAAAAATGTTTCTAAGGTTAACTATTTGTATTTAAGAATTTATTTTTTTAAAAACTTATGGGTCACCATGCCTGACTTAAGCTCTATTACAGAGCTATAGTCCTAAAAACAGCTTGATATTGGCACAAAAATAGACAGGTAGACCAATGGAACCAAATTGAAAACCCTGATTTTAACCCACACACCTATGAACACTTGATTTTTGATAAAGAAGCTAAAATTACACAACGGAAAAAAGAAAGCATCTTTAACAAATGGTGCTGGCATAACTGGGTACTGGTATGCAGAAGACTGCAGATACATCCATGTCTATCGCCTTGCACAAAACTTAAGTCCAAATGAATCAAAGACCTCAACATAAATCCAATCACACTGAAACTCTTAGAAGAGAAAGTGGGAGATACTCTTCAACAAATTGGTACAGGAGACTGCTTCCTGAACATAACACCAGTAGCACAGACACTGAGATTGACAATTAACAAGTGGGACCTCCTAAAACTAAAAAGCTTCTGAAAGGCAAAGGACACAGTCAACAAGACAAAAAGGCAGTCCACAAATTGGGAAAAGATATTCACTAACCCCACATCTGACAGAGGGCTGACCTTCAAAATTTACAAAGAACTCAAGACAAAAGTCTTGAAAACAACAAAGGATCCAATTAAATAGAGAACTAAATAGAGAATTCTCAATAGAGGAGTCTAAAATGGCTGAGAGACACTTGAGAAAGTGCTCAACATCCTTAGCCATCAGGGAAATGCAAATCAAAACAACTCTGAAGTACCATTTTACTTCTGTCAGAATGGCTAAAATCAAAAACACCGAAGGCAATTTATGCTGGAGAGGATGTGAAGAGAGGGGAACACTCCTCCACTGATGGTGGGAGTGCCAACTCGTACAGCCACTTTGGAAATCAGTATGGAGATTCCTCAGGAAAATGGGAATCAATCTACCACAGGTCCCAGCAATTCTACTCTTAGGAATATATCCAAAACACAAATATATACAACAAGGATATCTGTTCCACTATATTCATAGCAGCATTATTTGTAATAGCCATAATTTGTGTGATGGGAAAACAAGATAGAATAGTTAGCTAATTCTGGAAACTTATCTCACAGAGGACTGAAAGCTATTCCTTACAACCTGAGCCGCTGACTCATCATGTTAGAAGGCAGCAGGGCTTCAGTGTAGAGAAAGGCTCTCAGGGTAGGATGCTGGCTTAGGTAAAGTCTCCAGACTCTTGAAAGCTGTATCTTCTTGATACACACAGCTGACTCCTCCTCATCTTTACCATCTCAGTTCTGCTACCACTCCTCAGGGAGGGACCTGATCACCTGGACAAAGTACTCCTCTCTACCAGTTAAGCAATCTGATGTGGTAACGGGTGACTTCCTTCACAGTGTTCACCACTAATTAATGTACTTCCAAGTAGAAAACACAGTGTTTAAGAAAGAACATCTTTTTTTGTCTTTTGTCCTTAGTACCCAAAGCATACTGCTAAAGTCTACTAAATATTTCCTAAATGAGTGAATGAATGTGCTCCCCAGGACCATTAAAAGTAGTTTTCTAACAAAAAAGTGAGCTGAGCTATCTGTGGCCTGAACTCGTGTCACTGGGGATAACACAAAGCCTATTATTTGTCAGGGAGTATGTTAACATGCTTATTCACACTCAATTATTACTTTGGTCCTTGGACTCTTATATGATGAAATACCAAGAACCATGTGTAACTTATTATTTAAATTTTAATTTCTACATTAATGTACAGAAATAATCCTATGATGATATAAAATTCAGGGTCTCAGCGGCCAACAGTGACAAGTGACACTAGTGTAACTATGCACAAATCATGCAAAAGGAAAGCAGATAATAAAATTCCTTGAAAGGAATGTATGAAAAAGAATCACTGGAAATAGAAATACTATTGTCCTACATATGATTACTGAGTTTTCTGTAACCCACCTAAAATGCCCCAAGCCTGATTTCAGTCTGCAGATGTAGACCCACGTGTATGGAGGGCCATATACATTTACAAAGTTTGACTTGCTGAAAAATACGTTGTATAGGTCAAATATGTTTTTAAAATGTACAGGTTTCACAGATGATGGCATGGTTACTGAAAATCCTGAAATATCATTCTGCATAAAAGTGCCCAGAGTGATCTTACAAGGATCTCAAAAGCAGAATAGAGAATTATCAATACATGTTAAACACCTAGGGGCAAGGTGATTGCTCCTATAGCAAATGACAGATAATACGAGTAAAATCCTAGTATAGACAAATACTAAAATCACGAATGCACTATACTTCCTACTGTGTCCTAAGAATGAAGGGGCTAGGCTCACCTGTCGTCTCTGATGTGGTAGAAAAATCCATATCCATTGTGTACCATGGGAGCCACGACTCCCTGGATTCGTAAGTAACCAACAAGACTTGTTGAGAGGACAAAGTTCCCGCCTCCTCCACTGTGTGACACAAAGAAAAGATGGCCATTAGAGGCAGGCACTGCGTTCCTTCTCACACCACAGAGAAGCACGTGGTGCGCACGATGGCGCACCGCCCCACGTTACCTTCTGGAGAAAAGCGGGTCCTCAAACAGCTCTGGGACAGGAAGGCCTTCCTCTTTTGCTACGAGCAAAAGACCTAGAAGGTGACGGTCAAACCCTGCAATGAAATCCCAAACCTGAAGTCAGAAAACGCTTTCTAATAACAGAATTTTCAAACAGAACAATTCAAGTTTGAGTACCTTTTCCATTTGAACAGTCTTTCATCATCTTATTATGCTTCTCAAAAGCTTGTAACATCTTTTGCTGCCGTTCCAGAAGCTGTGTCCAGAACGAGAAGAGTAATTTTCAGTATAAATTAATAAATCAAATCAGTAACAAAGTGCATAACCCAAATAAACAGCAGCACAAGAAGACTACTATCACCATGTCAGAATCTGGGTGAAGGGAAAAAGACTCAGAGGTAGAAGTGCGTGTGATGCGTGCTCCTGCCTTTCCTTAATTCTACTGCTTTTCCTCCCCCCAAAGCCTTGATTTTCTATTTTCTTCTTTCCCGAAACTGGAAAGAGCAGTGCTGAACATTGCTTTGAGGCACTTGTAATATTAACAAACAAGCAAAAAGTGGAATTTCAAAACTAAAGCATAACTAAAAATCTAATTTCTATGCAAACTAACATGATTCTGACTTCAAATTAAAATGGCAGAATTTCAAACAAGCAGGGAAAGAAACACACTGTTCAAAATAAAGCACACATGACCAGTTCTGGTCCTAGTGACTTCAAAGAAAAAGTAGACATTCAGCTACATGGCGAGAAGCCTCCCTCTAAAGGTGTTGGAGAGCTCTACATTGTGGGGGTATGATCTAAAGGTGACGTGCTGAACGACTCAGCACTGAAGACATCTGACTCAGAAAATGGCATACACGCCTTCTTTTCAGATCTGCTGCCCCGTGTTCCTGGCATACTTCAGTGGCAAATGAATACTTTGCAAACTTTAGGGAAAATGCCTTCAAGAGTTTTGATGATCCAGGGGAACAGAAGCAAAGAAGCTACTCACAGGACAATTCTGGGAGTTTTCTTTCCAATACTCACACTGGTGGAGGGGTCTTGCATGGCCTGGCACCAGCTGACCGCCTCCGCTGTACAGGAGCGCACAGTCTCTGTTCGGCCGTGGTAAAAGTATCTTGTCATAGCTGTTTCATAGCAGCAACCAGGGCTAAAATCATTTTTAAGAGTACCGTAAGAAAATGTTTGGATGTTATCAGAAATACAGTCACATACTAAAGCAACCTTCTGGTCAGACAAGGCCTACAAATCTGTCCAGAATCGAGACTTTCAACAGAAGCTGTTTTCAAAACCAAAGAGCAAGAAAACAGTGATAACACAGGCAATTTGAAAAGGCGTGGCTGCTTTCCGGTTATACGGGGTATGCTTCATAGTCTGTGGCAGGCATTTCTGAGAAGCCCCCAGTGGCCCACGCCTCTTGCTAGCCATGCTTTGGCACATTCTAACTGTGGGTGGAGTTAGTGACTTCCATTTAATGTAGAGACAACAGCAAAAGCAAAAGACTGTTAAGTATGTATACAGAAGAGATGGTAGTTTTTTTGATGGAGTGTCACAAGAATCCATGCTCCTTGAAGTCAGGGACTTTGCCTTATATTTCTCACTATTAAACACATATGCCCTTACATGAACACATATAATCTCACACACTAATATTTGAACTTGAAATGCCTTTCTAATTAATTTTGTTGCTGAGATGCAAAGAGCAAATATATGTGCATAATTTCCCAGGGTTTTTTTCTGGAACAGTCTGTCCATCAATACCACCCATTTCTGTAATTTTAGTTCTTTCATGTATTAAGCTTGTAATCTGTCTCCAACCATGTGGGAAGTGGTTACAGGCATTGAGAAGTTCTCAGTACTCACAAGTTAAAGTAACAGGAAGTATGATTGTAGCAAAATATTTAATTTGTACAAGCTAGCCCAGCTTTATCAGTAATAAAATTTCCATTTTCTCTCCAAAAAAAAAAAAAAAGACTGTTAAGTTACAAAGAGAGGTCTCCTTTTCACTTCCTTGCTCTGAAAAAAGCCAATTACCATGGTGGGAACTGCCCTATGGAGTGGGGTAGGCAGTTAAAAACTGGGGATGTTGCTCTAGACAGCACTCAGGGAGTAGCTGAACTTTGCTAGTAAATTTGTGAATGATCCCGGATGCAGACCCTCCCTTAGGAGAGCTGACAGATGACCATGCTGCCCTGGATAATACTCTGACCACATGATAATAAGACATGCGCCAGCTAAACTGTGTTGTGTTTTATTCACCTATGGGAACTACGGCACACAAATGCTTGTGTTCTAAGTCAGTACAGTTTCAGTAATTTACTACACAGAATACATGCAGAGTCACCTGTTGCATGATGAGAACTCAGTGGTTCCCCAGAAAAGCAGCTGTTTCCCCAAATGATGAATGACATGCAGTTTTAGATACAAAGGGCTCTTACTTTGCTGGAAGTTTTTACAGTCAATGAAGATCAAGTTCAGTGAGAGTGGGAAGTCTGAATGATGACACTACTGGGACTCAACAGCACAAAGATAACATCTCTTTTAAAAAAGAGGGGCGGGGAGCTGAGAATTATCAAGATACATTGCTCATATATGTGAAATTGTCAAAGAATAAGCAAAAGGTGTTTTATTTAAAAACATACAAAGTGGCCGGATAGCCCAACTTCCGCCTATAATCTCAGCTACTTGGAGAGCTAAGGCTGGAGGATCACTGAATCTGGGAGTTTGATATCAGCCTGGGTAACGAAGCAAGACTTTGTCAAAAGTAATAAAACAAAACAAAACAAAAAAAAAAGGAGTGAGGAGAACTGAAAAAAAGTCATCATTGTGTAACCTGTAATTCAAAGGGATCTTGGCAATAATTATCAAAGGCTATATTCAGGAAACTAGGCATGCCATGCCTGCAGACACAATACTCATGAGGTTAAAACAACACTAGACTAACATATGCAACACAGTAAGATCCTATTTTCATATAATCAAAAGCAGATTCAGGAAGGAATGTTTATGGTGGGTGTTGGGTGACAAGCAGCTAAAACAGAAGGCCAATGGCATAAATAAATTAATCGATTGTCATAAAAAAACAATTATGGTTAGTTAGTCCAACAAACAATAAACAAAAGAGCTGATTCTCATTGATTCTCTGCCTTTCCCTACTAGTTTACAGATAATACAGGAGGTAGAGTACCACACTAGAGAACACTGGGGATTCAGAAAACCACACAAAACAAACAGATATGACCCAGTTTCCTCATTAAATACAATTCAATAAGAGAGAGACAGGGATTTAAAGACAGATCAGTGAAGTATAGTGAGCAGAGCTTAAGAGGAGTGCTTGCCCTTTCCAAGGCTGGATGTGGTGAACTAGTTTGCAGCAATACAGTTTTACATAAGCTGGAAGTTAAGAAAAATTGTTCTTTTTTAAAGGCTGTTCAAGGCTCTGAAAAATGCAAAGATGTGGAGAAAAGATAGAAATAGTATGTCAGGAAAGTTGCTTAACGCTGCTTTCCTCTGCTCAAGGAATTTGGTATTTAAGATTCATGAACAGAAAGAAAGCAGAATAAGCAGGAAGTTACTGGTAAGGGAAAGAAACTGAACAGGGCTTTCAGTAATATTACTGGCAGGTAAAAAAAAAATACTAGCATTCAGGGCTACAAGGAGTAAGGATGGGAGCGGACAAAACCACAGGTAGGCCCATCCACTCATCTTAGTTGATACTGAAAAGCATTTGGCAAAAGTGTATATACATTCGCAATCAAAACACAATAAACCAGGAATAGAAGGCCAGTTCCTCAACATCATATGGGCCCCTATGAAAACCCAGCTGACACAAGGAAGAGAGAATGTCTACTTCTCCACCTCCATCCCCACCACAGCACCACGAGAAAGGAAAACACCCAATCTGGAAATGAAAAACCCTTGTGGCAGATCAGCTGACTTCATTAAGAAACTATAGTGTCTTCTACAGTGCCAGGGAAACTTGAAATCCACTGGAAAAGGCATGAAATTGGACCCTGTGAGTAAATTTCACATATTAACAACCCCAAAACACAAATAGTTTGATTCTATGATGAATCCTAACATAGACCCTTTCCTTACATAATACACAAAAATGATCACAGCAAGAACAGTTATAAAATCTTAGAAGAAAACGGGAAAATCTTCACTGCTTTGGATTTGGTTTGATTTCATTGATAAGCAACAAAAGAAAAAGAAAATACACTGGATTTCATCAAAATGTAACTGTGTGGGTCAAAGGATACTGCGAATAGAGCAAATGGCATCCCACAGAACAGGAGCTAATGCTCACAAGCCATTAATGTGCACACCATTTCATAAGGTAAAGCCGTCCTGGAGACTGGATCCTTCAAAAGTACCAAACAACCGTGACAATGAATCATGGGAAAGCCTACAACTGTCACAGACTAGATTCTAGTAAACTGATAGATCTCCAAAGAAAGAAAAGGTGAGAAAATCCGCTGTGGAGTTAGGGAAACAATGGCTATGTAAAGCCATTCCCAATAGCCTGGGAAGTGAAGACATGAAAAGGAGAACAAATGCTTTACCGTCCATGAAGTCTGTAATATGCAAGCTGAAGTGCAAGCTGAATAAAGGTGTCAGGGTGCAACGCCTCCTTCTTGGTGAGATGTTTGCCAAAAGATGTGAAAGCATATGCTGCGATCTGCAGATCAGATGCCTGACAAAGTCAAACAGGAGCAGTGAAAAATCACTGGACAGTGAGACTTCAAAGGGGATCAAACTATTATTTGCATTAATCATCAGACGTAAAGAATGAAAGGCATTAAGGTTATGATTTTAAAGTGTTTTATGAAGCCATGCTTGGCTAATAGCCACATTTTCATAGACGGCAGCGGACAGAGAACACATTACTAATCTAAAAGAAAAATGAAGAACCTACCCCTTTGAGGTGCTGGGCTTTGGCTTGGGAGATGTCATTTCGTATTTTCTCATCCACAGTGAAAACCAGCTCTTCAGGGAGCGGTAGATCCCGGACTTTTTCTGAACCCTGGAAATAGAGGACTTTGAATATATCTGTGAAACGAGCAGAAAAGGGTGATGGACTTGTTCTGACATACCTTCCACCTTCCTTCAGTCTCCAAGACTCTCTCATCAACATAATGGGCAACGTTCACCATAACCATTGCATCGAAAGGAGCATGCTAAAATGAAAATAACAGATTTTGAGTAGTTTGTGTCAAATTGAAATCAGCCCTAGGACTTCTTACTTTCTTTGCTTTTAGTGGATAAGATGTGCCCACCTTCCAGTACCCGACTTCTTAATTTCAGATGATACAATTTGTTCCTACACAATAGAAATTGCTTATTTTTCAAGACAAGGGAAAAAATGAACAGGTGTTTAAAACTGACAGCCCATAGTAGGGCTCTTAGAGTTTTGGCTATGTAACTGTAAACACAATCCAGAGAGGTTACTGGGAGTCTGAGCAGGTGGACCTGTGTCATGTGAAAATATTCTGAAATTATAAACACTGTAATAATCAGGTAAGGACACCAGACTAAAGCAACTGAGCATGAACATCTCCAGCTAAGAGAGGACCACTAAGTACTAGAAAGCAGTGCCACCATGCAGAGACCTACAAGAAAGCCTAGATATTGCAGAAATAACTTGCAATATTAAGCAATGTAGGAAAGATGGGTTGTATTGCCTTTATCACCTATTTATCAATAAACCATCTCCTTCTGAAATAATAGCTACTTCACTATTCTTTATGCTACCACCATATCCCTCTGTGTTAAGATGAAGGAGACTGACTCTACCCAGGAGGTTCCAAGGTTAGACAGTGGCCTAGGCCAGGCTAATGAGAGCACACTTGATTCCCAACAACCTGTGTTTCACACAAGTCAATAATAACCAATGAGAATGATTTCAGGACCTTTTCTGGAGCCATTGAAACAAGTTGCCTATTTCCCCTGGAGTCAAACACCTAAGAGAGCTGCAGTGACCCTAAAGCTGTTAATATAATAATCACAGTGGGCAGTCTGAACACAGCTCCAACTGCAAAAATGAGGAAATATCTTTATAATGAAAATATCTGGACAGTCTATGTCTCCATTACCCATATTTAAGAATATAACTATGCCAACATCTTTATAAACTAATGCCAAGTAAAATTTCATCAATCAAAACTGAATGAATGATTAATAAAACCACTGCCAAGATTAGGGCCGTAGCTCAATGTAGACTGCTTGTAACATGCACACAAAACTGTGTGTCCAACCTCCAACCCCTAAGACAAAGCACTGCAGGCCCGAGGCTTGCTCTGGGTCTTTGTTTGGTTTTGTTTCCTTGTTTACAGACTTCCTGAATGGAAGACAGAGCTGGTCAAGTCCATGGGAAAAGATAAAAGACATTTTACTGCTTATAGTCTAGTGTCCCAAAGAGCTGTCATTTTAGGAAAATAGTTATGAAGTCCTTTCCCTATGCATAGAACACCTACATAATACCCAATGGTATCTTTCAAATAAGGTTATTAACTTTAGCAAGAAAATGCATTTTTAATAATTATTTTTCTTTTCCTTTTGAGATTACATTGTTATTACATCATTTCCCGCTTCCAAGTTCTCCCATATACCCCCTTGCTTTCTTTGAAATTCGTGGCCTCGTCTCTCATGATGCTTGTTATAATCATATGTGCATATGTAGATACATATATTTCTAAATATAACCTGCTCAGTCTGTGTAATGTTACTTTTATGTTTCATGGATGACCATTTGGTACTGGACAGTCAACTAGTGTGCTCTTCCCTATTTGATAACAATAGGTTTTAAGATATCACACTTCAAAAAAATTACATTCAGAATTCTTTTTTCATGTTCCTAACTGTTAGCCCACAGTACAAGAAAAACTTGATCCATGTTCTGCTTTCACTGACAACTCAGACCTAAACCTTTTATTATAATGAGATACAATTAAAAAAAAGTATTTACTTTCACTACCTACACATAATACGATACAAAAGTTAACTTAAGAAATTAAAGGGGGAGGGGCAAGCACCCTGATTACAACATACTTACATCACAACAACAGCCAAATACTCCATTAGCAAAGGATATCAAATTATAGGACTTGTCACCCCAGCGTACTGCTGGATCTCCAGCAAGAAGCATTTCGAAGATCTAAAAAATATTGTACTTTATTTTTCCAAATTAAAAGTATTTTGACATTGATTTGCAAGTAGACTTAAGAGTACATATTTCATTTTTTATTTTTAAGTCAACCAAATTTAATAAAATGACAGCTCTGTTAAGATTCAACAGGTAATAATTATGGGTCTGGTTTCAGCTATTTTTTAAATCTCAAGTTATGAAAATCTAACCAGAAAATAGAATGGTAATGCATTATTAATTAATGGTACCAGAGCATCCATATAATTAAAAGCAGACGTGTTTTGAAACTTAGGTAATATAAGAAGCCTAATAAGCTCAGGGTAAAGTATCTTAACAATTCACATGCCACTAAGACAACCTTTCTCAAACTGCTGATCCTGCCAAACTAATGAGTCATGAAACAATTTACAGCAGCATAAGTAATACTCCTTACAAACAATAAAGCAGAATAGAAATAGCAGAGTACAGGACAGATAGTAAAAGTAATCACTGTTTTATGAAACTTCAATTCTGTGTGTGTGTGTGTATTTAACTACAGTGGGCTACAATCTGTTTCCAAGTATAGGCTATGGTTTGAACAACAATGAATTATTCCTTAAATGGTATTTCAGCCATTTCTTCCTCTCTGAAATAAAAATTGTAATCCTGGATTTATTCCCCTATAATTTAATACTGATGAATGTATTAGGAAATAATAAATTCTTCCAAAAGGCTTTAGGATTATGGTTGACTAGTGTGTCCAATAAAACGGAATGACATGACCAATTACTTGCAAGGGTGATAGAATTCTTAAGGCAGAACCCACCCCAAATGATGCATGTACACTGGTGTGGGTTACAGGTGAAGTTTTACATCACCTTTGGAAAGACAAGTTGACTTGCCTTAGTATTCCATGCAAATATTCTATGTATGCAATTGATGGAAAAGGTTAGAAAACACTGACATGCATGCAAATAATAGCGACACTTCTTTAAAAAGGGGCAAAATACATCTAAATAGACTTAAACGTCAAGTATTTACAGAGCTCTATTCACTATGTATGTATGAGATTCAATTTAGTGCATAATGTAGTTCATAGCTAAGAAAAATTTCAAGACCCTGATTAAAAATAAAATCTCATGTTCAACAGATAATAATAGTCCTCCAGAAAATTGTGTAGAAAGATAACAGAACAAAAAAGTTACCTCAGAATAATCTTCTGGGGTTACATGTGGGCTGGTGTCTTCTATGGAATACACAAATAAACTGGATTGAATTTTTTCTAGTAAAGTCAAGTTCTCTGGATCAAGACCAATCAGATATTCTCTAGCCTAAAAGGCAGGAAGATGATTAAATATTACAATTTAAATGTAACACATCGAGAAAGTATCAAGAGTTTGTTAGAGAAAGTCTATTTAAGAACAGCATAAGACTGTAATTAACACAGACTCACAATGGGACAGTGGGCAGAGAGTGAGAGACTTCAGAGTGCTCAGCCCTGAACCGGATGCCTCTGTCACTCTTCCCTTCAAGGCTCAGGGGTCTGTGCGGACCGGGGTGGAGGTGGAAAGACTCTAAGAGCCACAGTTGATGGATGACTTCAAGGAAACAGCATTTCCAGACACAGCAGGGCAGATGCACATGCGAACTTGTGCCAGCAGGCACGAGACCTGCACAAGCTCAAGCCAGACAAAATCCCAACATGGAGAAGGGGAAGTGAGCACAGAGTCCCACCCCTAACCAGTAAGCTGTCTGCAAAAGACAGCTGCGGGGAGAGGAAATCAGCTTTCTACACTCCATGTAGGCCTCATGATCAGGGGGAGCTGGCTAACACAAATCTGACTCTGGGTTTTTAGTGACGTTTTTCATTTGTTTTTAAGAGAGAAAAAAAAACATGAAGGTGGGTGGGTAGAATGGGGAGGAGAATCTGGGAGGAGCTGTGTGATAAAAATATACTATTTAAAATTCTCAAAGAATAAAAACAAAAAATAAAATTAGCATACAAAAAGAAGACTACCATAAATTACCTTTGCCCATCGAGTTCGCTCCTCACTAGTTAATGCTGCTATACCAGGTCCAACAGGTTCACTAGAGCATTTCTTGTGGATATATGTCAGTTGTCTTATGGAAGATTGAAAAAAAAAGCATACTCAGAAACAGCATGGACAGGACACATAGCAGTTACAGAAATCTTTACATAAACACACACTAATATTTATTTGTATTTGTAAATATATGTATGTAAAAATGACTATATATTCTATTTTCACAAAAAGCATATTGGACAATAATTTATATTTAAAAATAAACTTAGATGATACCATTTAAACTTTGAAAACATGGGCATTTCCAGGGTTCAGATAAATAAATACCTTCTCTATGGGAAAACCTGAAAAAGTACTTTGGTAGTTAATCTTACAGCTATTATATATCTGATTAAAAATTGTGTACACATATATAAAAAACCAGAGAACTTACTGTGTGCTCAATTCATATTTGTGTTTTATCAAGAAACAGAGGTAGTTACTATATAATCAATTTTAAATGCTTTCATAACTATCACTGTATTAATGCTGATAATTATACCTTAAAGAGTTAGCTATGTGTGGTGGACCATGCCCTGTAATCCAAGAACTTCAGAAGGCAAGGCAGCATAGCAAGCCTAGACAATACAGCAAGGCCACACCTCCAAGAGAGAGAGAGAGAGAGAGAGACAGAGACAGAGACAGAGACACAGAGACAGAGACACAGAGACAGAGACACAGAGAGAGACAGAGACAGAGACACAGAGAGAGACAGAGACAGACACTGAGACTAAAGATTCCACTGGATGAGGATAAAATGTTCCATCTTTCTTTAAACATACAGTAGGTAAATAATAGGGTTTGCACGTGAAGAAATTTTCATTAGCTCAAGTTTTACAGAGTTTCTAGTTTTCACCCTCTTCCTCACAGCACATATCAAGAAGTTACGACTTAAAAATATCAAGGGATTATTTAACAGATTATTGTAGCTTAGTAAGTGGTCAATAACCAATAACCACCACCAGTAGCATCCTTTATTTGTGATATCATTCAAAAATAGCAGGCAGTTTCCTCTGTTTGTGTTTCCAACACTGATGCAGAAATAATTTCCTTGCAGCAAAACTTTCCCTTTTTCTCCTTCCTTCCTTCCCTCCCTCCTTCTTTCCCTCCCTCCCTCCCTCCCTCCCTTGCTCCTTCCTTTTTAGTTTGTTTTTGAAAACAAGGCTTCTTGCTCTGTAGACCGGGCTGGCCTTGAACTCAGAATTCAACCTGTCTCTGCTTCCTGCACCACCACCTCCTGGTTTTTCGGCTTTATTTTCAAACTAATGGTATTCTATGAGCCCATGGGGAATTCTTCAGCTTGCCTTGCTTCTTTTTCTGCTTACCTCAGAGGGAAAAAAATTAAAGAATACAAACATAGAGGTGATGTGGCAAAATTTGATAAACTGGTTTGCATTCAAATTAAGGACTAGTTATCAAAAAATTGCTCTCATAGAGCAGAAGACCAAATCAGTATCATCTCCTATTCTGTGTAGAACACATAAAATCAAAGAGCTCTGTGTAGAGAACTACAGCATCCATATACCAGTTAGGATGCTTGTTAGTGGAATTGTGCTGAGCACCTGTCCTTATCTACTGAAGCTGAGTGAAACACACCCCACGACTCACCAAATCCTCTTGAGTATAACCTAGATGTCGATGTTTTGATTAAGGGATTTCCCAGTAGCCTATTTCATTACTCTATTTCAGACTATGTGGTGATGTATATTATATGGGTACTTAGCAAAACTCTGGATGTATGTTTCTATTTGTTTGTACAATTTATTAAAAATAAATCATTTAAGCATGAGGGTATGAGCTGAATCTCCAGCATCCATGTGTAAAACTAGGCATGTTATGCCAGCACCACTTGTTGAAGATGCTATCTTTTTACCATTGTATAATTTTAGCTTCTTTGCCAAAAATCAGCTGTTCATAGGTTTGTGGATTAATCTCAGAGTGTTCAATTCGATTCCATTGGTCTACCTATTTTTGCCAATACCAAGCTGTTTTCAGGACTACAGCTCTATAACAGAGCTTGAAGTCAGGAATGGTGATGCCTCCAGATGTTGCTTTGTTGAGCAGTGTTGTCTTGGCTATCCTGGATCTTTTGTTTTGCCATATAAAGTTGAGAATGGATCTATCAGCAGTCTTCTACATGCCAATATCCAGTTATTGGCATGTAGAAGACTGCAGATAGATCCATGTCTATCGCCATGCACAAAACTTAAGTCCAAATGGATCAAAGACCTCAACATAAATCCAGCCACACTGAACCTCTTAGAAGACAAAGTGGGAGGTACCCTTGAACGAATTGGTACAGGAGACCGCTTCCTGAACATAACACCAGTAGCACAAACACTGAGATTGACAATAAATGGGACCTCCTGAAACTGAGAAGCTTCTGTAAGGCAAAGGACACAGTCAGCAAGACAAAAAGGCAGCCCACAGATTGGGAAAAGATATTCATTAACCCCACATCTGACAGAGGGCTGGTCTCCAAATTTTACAAAGAACTCAAGAAGCTATTTTGCAAAACACCAAAGGACCCAATTAAAAAGTGGGGGACTGAACTAAATAGAGAATTCTCAATAGAGAAGTCTAAAATGGCCAAGAGACACTTGAGAAAGTGCTCAACATCCTTAGCCATTAGGGAAATGCAAATCAAAATAACCCTGAGATATCATCTTACTCCTGTCAGAATGTCTAAAATCAAAAACACCAATGACAGCTTATGCTGGAGAGGATGTGGAGAAAGGGGAACACTTGTCCATTGCTGTTGGGAGTGCAAATTTGTACAGCCACTTTGGAAATCAGTATGGAGATTCCTCATGAAAATGGAAATCAGTCTACCACATGACCCAGCAATTCTATTCTTAGGCCTATACCCGAAAGATGCCCATTCATACAACAAGGATGTCTATTCAACTATAGCAGCATTATTTGTAATAGCCAGATACTGGAAGCAATCTAGATGCCCCACAACTGAAGAGTGGATAGAGAAAATGTGGTACATTTACACAATGGAGTACTACCCAGCGGGAAAAAAAACAATGGAATCTTGAAATCTGCAGGCAAATGGACGGCACTAGAAGAAACCATCCTGAGTGAGGTAACTCAGTCACAAAAAGACAAACATGGTATGTACTCACTCATATATGGATTTTAGATATGGATCAGGGGAGTGTCATCCTACAATCCCAGGGCCAGTGAGTCTGGGAAACAGGGAGGTTCCCAAGAGATATGCATTATATCCCAGAGAAGCATCTCCTGAGCAGATTGGGAACATAGGGGGAGCGGGAACCATGCAAAAGGGGGATACGAGGAGGGTAGAAGAAGACATGGGGGAGCAGGAAGGTTGAGTCGGGGTAAGAATAGAGGAGATGAGGATGAAAGATACCATAATAGTTGGAGTCATTATAGCTTTGAGGAGAGAGCGAGACACTAGTGAGATTTCCAGAGATGTACAAGGTTAACACCAACTGGAAAACTAAGTAATAGCAGAGAGATACATTAATAGCCCCTACCTGATGATAAGGTTGATGACTACCTTATATGACATCATAGAACCATCATCCGGTGACTGATGGAAGCAGAGACAGATACTCACAGCGAAACACTGAACTGATCCCCTGGAACCCAGTGACAGAGATGGAGGAATGATGAGCAAAGGGGTCAAGACCATGCTGGTGAAACCCACAAAGACAGCTGACTAGACAAAGAGGAGCTCTTTAACCCCAGACTGATGGCTGAGAGGCCAACAGGGGACTGATCCAGACTCCACGAACGTAGTGTCAGTGAGGAGGCCTCAGAAATCTCTGGGGCCTTGGGTAGTAGACTAGTGTTACCATGGCATACAAATGAACTTTGGGAGCCCATTCCACATGGAGGGATGCTCTCTCAGCCTGGACATATGGGAAAGAGCCTAGGTCCTGCCCTGGATGAAATGACAGACTCTGGAGATTCCCCCCCAAGGAGGGCCTCACCCTCCCTGGGGAATGATGTGGGGATTGGGCTGGGGGGTGGGGGTGGGGCTGGGAGGGAGAAGGGCGGAGAGCTGGGATTGACATTTTCTAATTTAAATTAAAAAAAACTAGGCATGTTAACATTTGCCTGTAACCTCAGGGCTGGGATGGCAGTGTGGGGGAGTGACAGTAGATTCCTGAAGCTTATTGGCCAGCCATTCTAGTCAACCACAGACACCAGGTTCAGTAAGTGACCCTCTCTCAAGAAAGAGGGTGAAAAATCATGGAGGAGAACACCTGTCTTCAACCTCTGTCCTACACACACACACACACACACCCACACACACACACACACACAAACACACACACACACACGTGCGCGTGCGTGCACACAGAGGCTTGAGTACATACTTCTATATATTTACATTTAATATACATTTAATATATGCAAATATAAATTTTAATAAGCCATTTGAATTATACACATATATATACAACTCAACATTTATAATATCATTTAGGAAATTTGAAGTAACTAGAGATTAATATACTAAACGACTATTGCTAATTTATGAGAAGCCATTGAATGTGTCATGGTAGTATGTATGTATTTTACTTATATTTTAGAGATTCATACTAAAATATTTACACTAAAAGGATTTAGTGTAAATTACTAAACATTTACACAGAGTGAGATTTGTTTCAAATTCCCCATGGGGAACTGAAAGACAGAGACACACACAACCACTAGACGGAAGCAGACAGAGACCATGAGAGGGAGGAGACGTGCAGGCGTAGAGAAGGCTGGAGGAGGTGTCAGGTCACATGTGATGTGGAACTGAAGGGAGGGTATTCATAATGGAAAAAGTTAGAGCTGAGCACGTTGATGTCCTCATTTTGTGACTGAGTGTCTTTATGCTTTGAAGCTTTCTGTAGTGGTATAAATGGCACATAATAATAATAATAACAATAATAAATTACATGTAAATTTACTACAATCCATCTGGAAGGATGGGAGCACACCAAACCATAACAGTAGCTTCTGGAGTAGGGAGATGGGATCAGTAATATCCAACTAGAACATATACATATATCTAAAATTGAAAAGTTAAAAGTAGCTATATTTAAGAACAGCAAGTATGAAAGTCTTACTTTATAACATATCATTTTACTGAAAGGCAATTCTTGTTTTTTATTTTTTACCCAAGCAAGAGCTTGAGACCAAAGATATCCAATAAAGACAGTCTTGTCAGATACTCCCAGTGGGTCAAGCGCTGGCTAAGGCCAGGATGATCTTGAATACCTCAGCCTCTGTTCCCTGCTGGAATGACAAGCCTGTGTGCCAGACTGCCTCTTAAGAATGTGTGTTTAGCCCATAGACAAATGCTACTCTAAGTCTTAATTAGAGCAGCTTCTCTGCTTCGAAGGGCAGTGACTGCAGAGACGCAGAGCTTGCCAGTGTGTTAGGAGTAAGTGATGGTTGAGGGAGTATAAGCAAGACATATCTACTACTCCCTGTGAGGCTCACGGACAGTGGCGGAAGGAGAAAACGACAAAAGGAAGAGCTGGCAGGCAGAGAAGGGCCACATGTGTCACCTGCTAACTGCATCCGAGCCACCATTTCAGTCACGAACTTACAGCACCTGTGTTGTAGGCATGGGTTACCAACAGGCAGTGCCCGACGAGGCACTGACCCTCTGACCTGTAAGCAAGCCTCCAATTCAATGCTTTCTTCTACAAGTTGCCTCAGACACGGGGTCTCTTTGCAGCAACAGAACAGTAAGTAACAAAGACAAATGACTTCTGACAGAGTCTCAGAGAAGGAAGCTTGTGCTGTACCCACTGCTGAGCCCAGACAACCCTGGCCAGACTCAGTGAGTGACAACGACAACAAATGTCATGAGTATGGAAGACAGTTGTATGGGAGAAGGAGCTGTTAGGGAGGCAAGGAAAGGCAGAGGTAGGGGAGAATAATAATTCTATACGTGTATAGAATTGTCAAAGGACAAAATCAATCAATCAAGAATGCAGAATTCCTTTAAAAACCTGAGAAGCTCTGGTGGGGTGATCAAACATCCTTCCTGCAATACATCAAAGACAAAAGCTCTGCCTCGACACAGCACGGCAATGTGGGTTGGACAATGCCCTTCACTCTCTGAAAAAGACACAGAAAACGAGACTCAGTAAAGCTGCATTCAGCCAACAGAATATAATTCCTCTAATAGTGTCTTCATCTCGTGTGTGTGTGTGTGTGTGTGTGTGTGTGAGAGAGAGAGAGAGAGAGACAGAGAGAGACAGAGAGAGAAAGAGAGACAGAGACAGAGAGAGAGACAGAGACGTAGACAGAAGAGACAGAGAGAGAGGGAGCACATGTGAGTACATGATATAAAACGTACCGTTTGGACAAAGTTCTGAGAGAGAAGGGAAGATGAGGAGAATCCATAACGAACATGAAGCTATGCTCGGGTAAGAGTAAATTCTGGAGTGCTACTCCTCAGCAAGGTCACCAGACACGTGTCCATGACCTGCATATTTCAAAACACTAGAAGAAAGGACTTTGCCATAAAGAAATGGCAGATGTTTAAGGAGACAGGCACGTTTAACTTTATAATGCAGACATGCATTAACATCATATGGTAGTTCAATAGTATATACAGTATACAACTTTTATGTTTACATTTATTTAAACACAATTTAAGAAAACTTCAAGGCTGTAGTTATAGCTTACTATGCCCAAGATCAAGTGTGATCCCTATAACCACAAGGAAGAAATCTCAAGTCGACAGAATTTTAGATTCCATGACATAAATACATATTCTTGAAATTTGTCCATGTGAATCTTGAGAACTCCTTAAGTTTCAAGTAGGTGTGTACCATGAGAAACATCATTGTGCTGTAAGAAATTTTTTAAGTTTTAGTTAAGACGTAGGAATGGGAAGGTGGTCCGAGGAATCCTAGAAGAACCACTTGAGAGAAGAAGCTGTTTTTCTTGAGATTATTTTAATGTTACTCTTTCATCAGATAACTTAATTGCTGACTACAGCTATACCACTATGAACCATGCAAATCTCTCCCATAACTGCAAAGCAAAGGGGTATGTAGTACTTGAACGAGGGGTGTTTTAGCTGGCGCACTACCTAGCATCGATTGAGTATGTAGTACCTGAACGAGGGGTGTTTTAGCTGGTGCGCTACCTAGCATCGATTCCTCGATGAACGTCTTCATTAGAGACAATCATTATACGCCGGGGTGTCAGGGAGGAAGTTCCCCTGTTCCTTGGCTCCGAGATGGGAAAGTGAAAGAGAGGAAAGACAAGACACACAGTGCCACTGGAACAGAGTCAGTGGCCCGGAATTATTCATTGCTCTCCATGATAAATTGCTGTGCTGGGATTTCATGACATCGATTTATCCACCATGAGGAATGACCATCTTCTGGTAACCCCATTATTTCTTCTTACACCAGTACTGAGGAGATAAATATTTTAGCTTCTCAGGATATTTCCAAGTAATTTCTTCTCTCTGACCCCTTCAGATATCTCCAGACCCTTTCATGTTTACCACAGATACCCTTTATTACCATCATCTACTGACAGCCTTTCCAAAACTAATGGTTTGAAAAAAAAATAAACATGATACCCATTCAATCAATAAAATGTTAGAAGAATGTGTGACAGAAGGGTGGAACCTCAAAAGGAACTTACCAGGATACGTGAAAAGAGATCTGAATGAAATGAGAGAATGAGCCATGGAAACTCTGCAGAGAGAGGACCAGGCAGAGGGACCAGTAACTGTTAAGGTATTAGGACAAAAGGAAACAATTTGCTTAATGCACAAAGCTCAGTGAAGCTTCCTCAGAAGTCCAGCTGAGGCTGCACCATTTGTGACTCTGAAAGGACGTCCAGTGTTTACTATGATGGAAAGGAAGTTAGCACATGGCTTTATGGAGCACAGTATTTTAAGAAAGCACTCCAGGGGCTGTGTGAAGAGATCAGTGGAGAGAAAGATAACATAACCAGATTAGTTATTAGGTAATCAAAGTGGTTCAAATGAGAACAACCTACTGGAGGCATTGGGTTGGTTGGTTTGCTGCTTTTGAGATAGGGTTCCTTACACAACCCAGGCTTGCCTTCAATTCCCATCCCATCTCCGTGTCCAGGACAGTGGACGGCAGGCCTGTGCCATCACGACTTGCAGGGAAGACGGCTTTCGCTATGAGGTGGCACTTGCAGCATCCTTTCAGTGTGACAGATAACAGGTGGGAGCAACCCTCTCAAGCAAGAAAGCCGGAAGTGCAGTGGGGAGAGAGAGGATGACGGACACTCGAGAGCAAGGGGATCTGGCACATGCAGCAGCATCCTGCGGACCGGAAACGTTGGTCAGTTGGTTCTCACACCTGCTTTGTCTGTGGTACTGTGGGTTGTGCTCAGGGCCTCACACGAGCCGTCAGGCTTTTCACCGCTGAGCTACACTCCAGCTTCTTGTTCACCACTTTTAAAGGAAGGAGCATGAGGTATACACGAAGCAGGGTAGGCTGAACAAATTATCAAGTGACTTGTAACAACGCAACCTGATGGTCTTGGGGTTTGAAGGATGGGTCTGAAGTACGTTTCTCTACATCAATGGAGGTGTGGCTGTGTTCCTTCCAAAGGCTCTACAGAGGCTACTCCTTTCCTCGGCTCAGGGATCCCCTTCTTCATCTTCAACGCCACTGAGGGGACATCACAGCCCTGTCTGTGCTGCATCTCTGTTTGTCTTCTAAGAACCCATGTGATTAGTTCAGCATAACCTCATCTCCAAGGCAGCTGACTGCTAACCCTAACTCCTCCTTGCCAGGGGCAGGGACGTGGCATCTCCAGATTCTTCTTCTCCAAGCTGCTGGTCAACTTGAGGTTAAAGGTCAGATTTTTCTGTGTTTGTTAAGAATGAGAAAAGAGTTCTGAGAATGGCAGAAAGGCAAGAAGCAGCCCTGTCTTGAAGTGAAAGAATAAACTGACAATTACAGCAAGATGCGATGGATCCACACGACAGGGAAGGACATAGCTGTACAGAACGGTAAGGCCATGCGATTGTACATCACAGGGTGGACACAGAGACAGCCAAGGGGGACACTGACGGTGTGGGTACCCAAAGGCGATCCGAAACTGCAGCACCGGGGTGACGGGGTTGGGAGTTTTAGGATCTGGGACATGTCTGTAGGAAAAGGGCTTTACTGAGGAGTAGAAATTAAGTTCTACTTTAGGAAATGAGATAACATACAACTAGAAGCTAAAGTCATCAAGCATATTACTGAACTGGTAATGGAAGAAAGACAGGTTCACACAAAGTTTCTAGCAAATTCATGAAAACCCAACTATTGAAAATATTATATTAGAAATCATAGCAAAATTCCCCAAATCCCAATGTGTTAAAAAAAAGTTATCTACATCCTACATTTTTACTTACCAGTCCTAAAATAATTCATAATCGAATCTCTAGCAATTCCCGGGATCTTGCAGGTAGAAAACAACATTCGGAACTGGTTCATGTCCAGAGGAGTATTTCCAGATCTATGTACAGGCAACTTTTCTCTATTAAAAAGTATTTCAATGAAAAAGTCATTGTTAAAACTCGCCATCAAGTCATCACAACTATATCATTCCTCCCCTGAATAACTGAGTGAGGCTGACAGCATTCTCTTATTCCCACAACAGGCAAGCTCAAGCTCAGCCCCTGCCTGGTCCTCCCGTGCCCGCACCTTCCCGACTCAGCCCCTGCCTGGGCCCCCAGTGCCCGCACCTTCCCGACTCAGCCCGTGCCTGGGCCCCCAGTGCCCGCACCTCCCCGGCTCAGCCCGTGCCTGGGCCCCCAGTGCCCGCACCTTCCCGGCTCAGCCCGTGCCTGGGCCCCCAGTGCCCGCACCTTCCCGACTCAGCCCCTGCCTGGGCCCCCAGTGCCCACACCTTCCCGGCTCAGCCCCTGCCTGGGCCCCCAGTGCCCACACCTTCCCGGCTCAGCCCCTGCCTGGGCCCCCAGTGCCCGCACCTCCCCGGCTCAGCCCGTGCCTGGTCCTCCCGTGCCCGCACCTTCCCGACTCAGCCCCTGCCTGGGCCCCCAGGGCCCGCACCTTCCCGGCTCAGCCCGTGCCTGGGCCCCCAGTGCCCGCACCTTCCCGGCTCAGCCCCTGCCTGGGCCCCCAGTGCCCGCACCTTCCCGGCTCAGCCCCTGCCTGGGCCCCCAGTGCCCACACCTTCCCGGCTCAGCCCCTGCCTGGGCCCCCAGTGCCCGCACCTTCCCGGCTCAGCCCCTGCCTGGGCCCCCAGTGCCCGCACCTCCCCGGCTCAGCCCGTGCCTGGGCCCCCAGTGCCCGCACCTTCCCGGCTCAGCCCGTGCCTGGGCCCCCAGTGCCCGCACCTTCCCGGCTCAGCCCGTGCCTGGGCCCCCAGTGCCCGCACCTCCCCGGCATAGCCCCTGCCTGGGCCCCCAGTGCCCGCACCTTCCCGGCTCAGCCCGTGCCTGGGCCCCCAGTGCCCGCACCTTCCCGGCTCAGCCCCTGCCTGAACCCCTGCCTGGGCCCCTTGGGCCCCCAGTGCCCGCACCTTCCTGGCTCAGCCCGTGCCAGGGCCCTTAGCACTTTTACCTTCTTAGCAGTTGCCAGTAGTTCAAGTTGTGCCACAGAATTAAACTTCCTCTTTCTAACTGCGTGCCTTCCATCGCGGGCCAGTAGTGTTCGAAATGGGGGCTGGGGCCCACAAAGTTCACATACAGTTGTGATGGGATACGCACATCCAGGTAGGCGACATGGAGCCACCACTCTTCCAGCTGAAAGAATTTAAGAACACTGGTTTTCAAGATACTTGAATATGCAACTGCTAACAAGAAGGAATGCTATATTTGTTTCTTTTTCTTCCATGCTCAAAACCACATTGTAAGTCACCACAGACAATGAAAAATCCTACTTCAACAACCTCCTTCCTTTCTGCTTACTCTTGGAACTACAAACTCCTAACCATTCATTGGTTTAGCTACACTATCAACACGGCACTTATGTCACTCCTGGAGTATAGGGACAGTTACCAAAACCTCACTCAATGATAACAGCTATTAAGGCATTTATAATATTCCTTTGCCAAAGATAAACTGAAATTCTAGTTAGAAATACAAGACCCTTCAGTGTGCTTCAAAATAATTTATACTTTTTAAAATAATTTATACTTTTTATGTGTCCCCTTTCACAGCAAGTAACTGAATTCCTTACCTAAATCAATAGATACTAGATCTTAGCAGTTTACCTGCATTTTTTTAAATGATGGTACAAGCTGTAGTTTGTAACCCAGAAAAAGACCAGAGTAAAATGAATACGAGCAGAGCTAGGACCTCTTCACCTCTACTCCCATTTTAATTAAAATCCCCCAGGACTCAAAATTGAGAACCAAAGAATCGGGAAGTGGTAACTGTTATTTTTTCATAAGGATCAATGTCTCATGAAAAAAAATCAGACACTTTTCTCCTTAAAATTGTAAGTTACCATCATTAGTTTTTTAATTATGAAAAATCGTTCTTTAATTCATATACTAAGAAGCAGTATAACTAAAGAAGTCAGAGAAGAAAGCTGCAGGCAAACGGAGACTGCTCTTTCTGTCTGTCTGAGACTTCTCTTTCTGTCTGTCTGAGACTTCTCTTTCTGTCTGTCTGAGACTTTTCTGTCTGTCTGAGACTTTTCTGTCTGTCTGAGACTTCTTTCTGTCTGTCTGAGACTGCTCTTTCTGTCTGTCTGAGACTGCTCTTTCTGTCTGTCTGAGACTGCTCTTTCTGTCTGTCTGAGACTGCTCTTTCTGTCTGTCTGAGACTGCTCTTTCTGTCTGTCTGAGACTTCTTTCTGTCTGTCTCAGACTTCTCTTTCTGTCTGTCTGAGACTTCTCTTTCTGTCTGTCTGAGACTTCTCTTTCTGTCTGTCTGAGACTTCTCTGTCTGTCTGAGACTTCTCTTTCTGTCTGTCTGAGACTGCTCTTTCTGTCTGTCTGAGACTTCTCTTTCTGTCTGTCTCAGATTGCTCTTTCTGTCTGTCTGAGACTTTTCTGTCTGTCTGAGACTTTTCTGTCTGTCTGAGACTTTTCTGTCTGTCTGAGACTTCTTTCTGTCTGTCTGAGACTGCTCTTTCTGTCTGTCTGAGACTGCTCTTTCTGTCTGTCTGAGACTGCTCTTTCTGTCTGTCTGAGACTGCTCTTTCTGTCTGTCTGAGACTGCTCTTTCTATCTGTATGTCCAGCTACTTTCTCCACTTCCTCCATGCCCTGTTTAAATATATTTAGGAGACCTATAACACAACTACTTTGGTGTCTAGGGTGTTTTTGTCAGGCTACAGTGATCTGGAAAGCTGTGTATAACAAACACAAGTCTATGGATCATCTGCATCAGAACCACACGGACTGGAGAGGATACGGCTCAGTGGGAGAGAGCCTGCCCAGCACGTCTAACCCTAGATCCTATGACCAATATTGGCCAAAATAGACACCACAGAGAGGAATTAAAATAAGAGTTTCTTGGCCTCCTTGTGGACTTACTGAGTCAACTATTATTGATTCCAGGAAACCTGCATTTTAACACATTCTCAGGTAAGACAAAAACTTGCTTATAAAATAAATGCTCTCCAATGATGTAAATCATTCTTTTGTGACCATAATGACAATTACTCCAAGCACTTTAAGAAATAATTTAAACATTAAAGCTACCTATATTTTAAATTCTCCTTCAAATATTGTTTCCAATTATAAGTATATAAAATAAATACCCAGTTTCTTTTTCCTTTAGCCCTTTCAAGTAATTTCTGATGCAATTTCTCACCAACTCCATTTTCAAACTTTTGAACTATTTCTTCCGTTTTCTTATATTCTTCTTCATTTGCAAATGGCTTTACTATAAAAAAGTAATTATTTAGACATAAGTGCTCCCATATCACTTCAATCATTTTTATACAAATCGAAAATTCACTAGCACACAATAAGGTTTTAGTTTGCAACATGAAAACTGTGGTGCAAATACTATTTTCCCAAATAAATAAATAAAACAATAGATATTGTATAGTGTCGTCACAATATTCTGAAATTATCTCCAAACTATTCTAGATGTCAGTAAAAGAGTCGAGGTTGCTACTTAGCTAATAAGCAGTAAAAAGAAAGTCCTATTTAAACACAGATACGAGAAGTTAAAGCCCTTTTCCATTGACATTTAGATTAGAACCATGACCCCTACACAGGCAATGTAATATGTATTTAGGGTGCCTAAGGCCAAAAATATTTTCCTACTAAGGGGAGAAAAAAGGAAGAAAGGAAAGAAAAAGAAAAACAAGAAATCCATCTATATTTCCCTAGTCCATAAAAATGAATTGTTCTGAAAATTTTCTCTCTTTAAAAACTATTGAGCACAATGTAAAATCCCATTTAAAATAGTTGTACTCAGAGAGAATAAGTGAGTACTCAAAAAAGTTAATAATCTGTGAATTAAAAGAAAGTTAGTATTGCCAGATGAAAGTAGACTTTAAAAAAAAGAAGAGAATGAGGAAGGAGGAGAAGGAGGAAAGTGGTATTTGAAAAGCAAAACCAAAGAGGGCTAAGGTGATATCTAAACTAATGAAGTACTTAGCCTTTTAGCACGAGGATGTGGGTTTGAGCCCAGAACCCATATTAAAAACAAACAAATAAAAAGGATGGAGCACAGGCAAGCAGGTGTGTACCATCCAAAAAAAAACCTAAAAAATAAAAAGGGGCAGCATACACTCAAGCGAGACACACACACACACACACACACACACTCACTCACACACACTCACTCACTCCCAGTTCATCCAGTGGAACCAAACATATTATCTCCACCCCTTCTGGAAACCCACCAATACGACAGTAAAGTGATTTTAAAAGGAGTACAGGGGCAGGGGATGGCTCAGCGGTTAAGAGCACTGGCTGTCTGTTCTTCCAGGCGTCCCGAGTTCAATTCCCATCATCCACATGGCGGCTCAGGACCATCTAACAGGATCCACATAATATACATAAAAATAAGTCTAAAAACATAGTAAAGGGAGTGAAATCTACAAGGGAGAGAGAGAAATAAACAGGCAGGAAGATGGACAGACAGACAAGTGATGGGCAGGCAGACAGAAAACTACAGACAAATTAAGCTAACACTTCACAAATCCAGTAAACATGGTGAGTCAGACACAGTGGCAAATCTATAGAGGCCCAGTCTCTGGAAAGGCTGAGATAGGAGAAGTTCAAGGCCAGCCTGGACAACATACTGGGACCCTATTAAAAAAAAAAAACAAACTAACTAAATAAACAAACAAAAATAAACTGGAGAAAATGATGACTGGTTTTGTAAAATAGAGAAAACAAGTATCTAAAGCCTGAGGAATAAAAGGTTACAGAAAATACAAGAAAGGTTAAATGTAAGTCAAGTAACAAGTCAATTCTGACAGCAGAATCCTAGGTTCAAGAATTCAAGGCACAAGGTACCTTCAAAAACAAAGGTAAATGGAAGGATGAAACAAGACTGCTACAAGGTATTTACCAAACACAGACACAACTACCCCATCAACACAACTGTTTCTCAATGCCAGGAAAAAATGGGGAAACATGAATCAGACAAAAACAAAACACCTGGATTCTACCCACAATAAAAACGTGGTATTATACTGAAAATACATATCTTATATTGAAGTATTATTCACAAAATCCAGGAAATGGAAATAAGTGTCTGTCAACTGATGAATAGAGAAAGAAAGTGTAGTACATACACAATGAAAACCTATTTGTTCAGCCATTTAAAAAGCATGAAATACTGACATTACAACACAGATAACGAAGGGAACAAAGCCTAGAACAGAAGCCAACACCGTTTGGTAACACTGTACGTGGAAATCTAAAAGGTGGAAGGTTGATGGGTCAGCAGCAAATGAGATAGAAACAAGAAGTCTGGAGTGCTACTACAGACAGCAACTGTATACCGAGTATCTCAGAAGGCTGGAGTGCTACTACAGACAGCAACTGTATACCGAGTATCTCGGAAGGCTGGAGTGCTACTACAGACAGCAACTGTATACCGAGTATCTCGGAAGGCTGGAGTGCTACTACAGACAGCAACTGTATACCGAGTATCTCAGAAGGCTGGAGTGCTACTACAGACAGCAACTGTATACCGAGTATCTCGGAAGGCTGGAGTGCTACTACAGACAGCAACTGTATACCGAGTATCTCAGAAGGCTGGAGTGCTACTACAGACAGCAACTGTATACCGAGTATCTCAGAAGGCTGGAGGGCTACTACAGACAGCAACTGTATACCGAGTATCTCGGAAGGCTGGAGTGCTACTACAGACAGCAACTGTATACCGAGTATCTCAGAAGGCTGGAGTGCTACTACAGACAGCAACTGTATACCGAGTATCTCAGAAGTCTGGAGTGCTACTACAGACAGCAACTGTATACCGAGTATCTCAGAAGGCTGGAGTGCTACTACAGACAGCAACTGTATACCGAGTATCTCAGAAGGCTGGAGTGCTACTACAGACAGCAACTGTATACCGAGTATCTCGGAAGGCTGGAGTGCTACTACAGACAGCAACTGTATACCGAGTATCTCAGAAGGCTGGAGTGCTACTACAGACAGCAACTGTATACCGAGTATCTCAGAAGGCTGGAGGGCTACTACAGACAGCAACTGTATACCGAGTATCTCAGAAGGCTGGAGTGCTACTACAGACAGCAACTGTATACCGAGTATCTCAGAAAGCAAGATTTTGAATGTTTTCAACATGATGAAATAATGCTTGAAGAGACAGATGTTAGATCTACTTTAAACAGCATACAATACAGAAGTCACACAGTACCCAGCAAATATGTATATTATGTTCGTTTCTAGGCAACAGCTTGAATTTAGTTTAAATTTTAAAACTTAAATTACAACCTGAACAACTAGTCATACTCAGCTTTCTCCCCATCCCAAACTGACAGTTAATAAAAAAGAGTACTGGAATTCAGGTGTGTGCTAATGAAATTACTATGTCTGTGCCCTACACTCAACAGTTAGATCCAGTAGTTCCCAAGTGAGATTTTCAGAATCCCAATTTTTTTTAAAGTTTCATTTATTTTATGTGCATTGGTGTTTTCCCTTCATGTATGTCTGTGTGAGGGTGTCAGGTCCCCTGGACAGGAGTTTTAGACAGCTGTGAGCTGCCATGTGGGTGCTGGGAATAGAACCCGGGTCCTTTAGAAGAGCAGTCAGTGCTCTTAACCACTGAGCCACCTCTCCAGCCCCAGAATCCCAATCTTAATTGTGGATCAGCAGCTGTTGTGGAGCCCTATCCTTGGGGTATAACATTAACACGGCCATACCACTTTAATCAGAGCGCTGAGTCTACATTTATGAAACCTTCACAAGATTTGGACTTCACAGAGAGTTTGGTTAAGGTTCAATAGGCTCCCAAGTGAGATTTCAGTCTCTTCCCTTCATGCTCCACCCACACATGATGGCAGAAGGAGGTTCTGGAGTTTCAGAAAGTGGAATGTTTGGTGCAGGCAGGGACTCCAGCTATCGGGCTTTCAGGTGGGGTAGGAGCTTTCAAAGACATAATTATTTTGAAGCCACTGGTACTCCTCCTGTAAATAAGCCTAATCAACTCCTTGGCTTACCAAACTGGACTCAGGTAGAATTATTTCTTTGGTCTGTTGCTAGGGGCCTTATCTGGGGTTAATGAACAACTGCTCATGTCTCCCTGGAAAAGTTAACATATTTGGTGCTCACAGAGGCTGGCTTAGGGCACAGCTGTAATGGGTGAGGAAACATGGACTAAAGCTGACAGGAGAGGAGCTGCATGGACAATTCAGACACAGACAGCTTCTCTTTTTATGGAACGGGGAGTCTCCTTGCTGTGGTAGCAGCTGAATTAGTCCTGCTCTGGGTGATAGATACACCTGTAAGTGAGGCTACCTGTTTCCTAGGAAAACACTTCATACACAAGGGAAGAATAACAAAGAGAAGAAAACAAAAAAAAATGTGGGTGGCGTCCTCCATGACAGTCTCCGATTTGGCAAGTCAACCAGATAAACATGGGAAAGAGATGAAGGTATTGGTTTATGAATGAAAAGGGGAAGTAAAAAAAAGGTAAGAACATGACTGGTCCCTCGTTTCAGCATCAGATGGATGAAAACAATTTAAAAAGGAAAGGTCATGACTGCTCCTAGGTGTGGTGGAGGAGAAGGCTCATTGTAGATATGAGGGAGAGCACAGTCCGAGGCAGAGACATCTGGGAAAGCTCAGAGTGGACATGACCGGAGGGGAGAGGAGAGAGACAAACCAAGAGGCCAGGAAGGTAAAGAGTGAAAGAAAGGAGCCAAAAAGGGAGCAGTGTAGCAAAACGGCTGGATTACAGAGGTAAGGGCAGCTGGGGCAAGGGCTGGAGCAGTTAGGGTAGGGGTGGGTATGTCAGCAAGGAGGGCCCTGTAACACGTAGAGACTGGGGATGCAGGGAGAAGCTGGCAACCAGCATCCACCTTCATATGTTAGCCAAGAATCTCAGCCATTAGTTCCAGGTTTGAGACCTAACAGATCTCTGTATTTTTCATGGCAGGAGGGGCATAAGGAATAGTACAAATTAGGTCTGGCTGTTCTAAGCACCCTTTCCTGACATCCAAAATTCTGGGCCGCATCAACAAACTGAACAGCGGTGAGGGAGAAAATGCTGTGGAGAGGACAGCAATGGGACTGGGCGTGAGAGGGGCAGCGACCCAGTTCACCGACAGACAGGACCGCGTTAAAAGAGCAGGTAAGAAGCAGGGTCCTTGGGCTTGGTGCGGGGTTTTGCTGCTTTGCCAAGCCCAGTGATGAATCATGATCTTTATATGGTAAGAATCTGGTTGATCTGAGTAAATTAGTGTGGAATGTAAATTGGGGTTATAAAGTGCTAAAAAGGGGGTTTAAAAAGAAAAGGGGACCTGTCTGGGTCACTCAAATGAAGTGAGGTACACAGGGATAAAGGGCCAGGAAAAGGTGCAATCAAAATGAAGAATGCATGAGGCAGACATGTAGGAACCTATTGTTCTGCACGATCAGCAATATATATAGTATGAGGAGCTAGAATACACAGGGTATAAAAGAGTGTGGGAGTAGTACTAGAAGCTAAAAGTTTTTAAGTTGGAATGGGTATGGGGTGGGGTAAAAGAAGGGGTAGAAGGGTATATTAGCCAAAACTAAGGATTTGTGAAATCGCACTAATTTGTAACCTAATCAAAAATACATGGGGGGGCTAAACAAAGGTGCTGTACATTAGTGAACGATGCTGTTCTCTTCATTTTCTCTTTGTTTTTCAAGGTATCATGTACCTTGAATTCTTAAGTCTTGGTCATTAAATGAAAATCTCAGTGCCAGGGACGGGTTCCCTTCCTATGACTTACTGTTTAGAGAGGTACCCAAAACAATACAGGTATTGCCATTGCTTTTTGTTGCCCACAATTACTAATCAGTGGTTCTCAACCTGTGGGTCGCAGCCCCTTTTGGGTCAAACAACCCTTTCATCAGGTTCACTTATCAGACATTCTGCATATAGGATGTTTACATTATGACTTTTAGCAGTAGAAAAATTACAGCTATGATGTAGCAATGAAGATAATCTCATGGTTGGAGGTCACCACAACACGAGGAACTGTATTAAAGAGTCACAGCACTAGGAAGGTTGAGAACCACTGGAATAGATGATAAGACCTTATTGCTTAAGACACCATACACTTTGGTTGCACGACACAGAGGAATCAAAGAACTGACCAGCAAACTCTCTTACTGCTGGCTAGCTTGCATACTGCTGGAAGGTACTATGTCCTCTGATGGGACACAAAAACATCAACAGTGTATCCAGTGCTGGACTCTGCATGCTAGACTACCAACGTCTAAGGCAACATTGTAACCACTATTGCAATAGAGGCAAGACTGTTTATGGAGGTAACAACCATTCTCTTTACAGGATTTGAGGCCTGTTCCTAATCCATGCCTCCTCCTGAAAGTATAATGAAACCCCATCAACAGAGAAATCAGAAGCTTCAGCAAAGAGAACCCACTGATGTTGTCAAAGTGTCTTCCAAATATATTCATAGATTTGTGATGCTCCCGACCTTGATCAGAGAAGCTTCTTACTGCAATGAGCAATAGTTAACACAGACACTCAGGACTAATTAAAGACCTCTACAAGACCAAGAGAGTTAATCCAGCATGGGGTGAGGAGGGCCGCCCACGGCTTCGCCCCTAGCTGTGGAGCTGACGGGTGCTGATGAAAAGGTACAGGACTTCTAGGGCTGTAGCATCTAGTTGGCTTCCCATGCCCCACTGGGTGACTGATACTCATACAGGCAGCACTAATTGGAATCTGTGAGTTAGTCAAGTGAATTAATAATTTCAGAGGATAGATGACTTTGGAAAGAAAATGTGATGGGAGGTGCTATGGAGGGATCCCAAAATCAGAATGGCACCATGTTGCCCTAAAGAATAAACAAGGCCTTCAGAGTTCTTAAAGAACACCCAATTCAGAACTCTACATTCAGCTGAACGATTAAGTCTAAACATTCAGCTCTCTTTTTGCCCTCACACATATTCTCTTGCAGGCAGTTGCAAAAGTGAGCAACATAGGAAAGCAGACAAGAAAGAAAAGTAGAGAGCTGCCAGGATGCTGGCAGATGAAGTGTCCTGCATATCAGATGTGCAGCGAGCTCCAGAAGTCATCCTCACTAGGAAAAGGGGGAGGAGAGGGGGCTAGGAGAAGGAGGAAGGAGATCTCGAAGGGAAGGAGAGGGGAGAAGGTGACCTCCACAAGGCACATTCTTAAGAGGAAATAAAACTGACTCAGTATTTTATGTCTCACTGTATACAAGAATGATCACCCATTCAAGCGTTTAGGAATAAATGATGAATATAAAGAAAAAAATCAAGCTAGGAAAAGAAGGTGGAAATGCAACAAACCGGCACCAAAGTAAAATGACTGGCTCACTTATAAACCAGATTCTAAAGGGGGGGCAGGAGGGCGCAAATGACCCTGTCACAGGGGTCACCTAAGATCACTGGAAAACGCAGATGTTTGCATTATGATTCATAACAGTAGAAAAATTACAGTTATAAAGCAGCAATGAAAATAATTTTTGGTTAGGAGTTTCCACGACATGAGAAACTATTTTAAATGGTTGCAGCATTAGGAAGCTGAGAACCACTGCTCTCCACCCTGAATGGCCAGTTGAATTAAGGTGAGTAACTCTTTAGAGTTATTAAAATCAGGTGGCTGCTGGTTTCAAATATGGGTGACGAGAATTAGAGGGGAAATGGAGACATAAAGGACTGTACATATGCTCTGACAGGCATTAGGGAGCAAACCGCACAACTATTTTAAGGAATTAATTTACAGTATCTAAAACTACAAGATCCAAGAAATATAAAATTAGTTCAAATATGGTGATAACAAAAGAAACGAGAAATATTTCAAAATCTTTGCCCTAAGTGGGGCTTGTACAGGCAGATGGACATGAAGGACTTACATTTAACCTGCAGGCCTATTAATACTATCAACTTTTCAAACCATGGGGAAAAAAACTTTTAAAAAGCTTTGCATATTTTAAGGATAAGCCTAGAGGCATCTACAAATTAGACCCTTGTCAACATTAATTCCATGTTACTATCAACATTAATCTACACTAGAAGAGTATGAACATACCTGCTTCAAGATACTTTTTTAAGGATTCTTTAAGTGAAGGAACAGGCAATGATGGAAGAGAGTCCTGGTATTGAAATGTTCGTTCTTCAATTGATTTTGCTAATTGACTTTCCATGATATAATCACAGTAGAAAAACTGAATAAAAGAGCAACATCAGTCACAACTTCAATCTCACAAATATTTGTAAACTTGTCTGATAAAGAACACCAACTTTAAAATTAGGAGTGCAAACATGCTAGGAATCAAAGCATCTGGGAGACCAGTAGCTGTCATCACCAAACACCAGATAGTGCAATGTGCTCCAGAAAACATTCTTACACCTAACCTTCCTGCTACTTTACATATGAAAACACACATATCTGACTTAGTCATCTGTTTGAGAGGTCATCCTTGATACCCGAAAGCAGATCTGTTAAATTCTAATCTCTTCTACAAGGCAACATTACAGGGCATTAGGGAACCTGCAGAGTCTTGCTGGGTGGGTAGAATTGGATATGTAGAAAAAGCTTATGGTCTGAAAAGCAATACAGAGGTGTGAGAGAATAGGTCATAGACTATTATAGACTGTGAGTGTTCATGTGACAAGCTGATGTAACTTAAAACTGTGCGGATGGCATGGGACCTAATCAATTGACTTTCTACATTTATGATAATTCTCATCAAAATCAAACTAACCCCATATAAGAATGGGGTATATTGGTATTAAATAAAAGGATTTCTGCAAGAATCATTTACAGATTACAAGTAAAAACAGTAACTAAGAAAACAGAAGTTAGTACTGAATGAAAACTCCCTGTCCTCTTATCTCCTATTTTAAAATAGCAAGGTTAAATAAAATATTCTGCTTATGTGCTATAAAAGCTAACAATATCAGAAACAAAGGGATGGCAGATTATTTTGGCTAATACCTTAGGACCTCAAGGTCCAACCTCTTCCTTTTTAATGGTTTCACTTATATCCCGTTTGAATATTGATAAACAGCCATGGACTTGCTAGAAATGAAGTTCTTGGTCCTACATATAGACTCTAACCATTTGCTCCCAGGCAAGTGACTGAAAAAAATGGGTGCATTTTATCTAATGGTGGTGGGCTGTCACAGAACACACTTGAAAGGACTTTGTTCTCTTCCATCTTGTGGGTCCTGGGGATCACACCTGGGTTAGCTGGGTTGGCTGCAGGTGCCATTATCTAACGATGCATCTCACTAGACCTCAAAATTTGTCCTATTTATTTACTTATTATTTTCAGGAAGAATCTCACTGGGTACCCCTGGCAGGCCTGGAATTAGCAATGTAAACCAGACTTGCCTAAATTCACACAGATCTGCCTGTCTCTGGCTCCCAGGTGCTGGGATTAAGGTATTTGCCACCAATACCCACCCAACTGTAGGCAAGTAACTAATAGAATCTCTTTATCTTTGAATGTTTAACCACATGGTCATCAGATTTTTTTAATGCCCTAAAAACCATGCCATAAAGACGATTCATCCTGAAACAACTATATCATGGATCAGAGTAGGCAGAACTGTGTGATGACCTCAACTTCTACCTACCCTTTTTTAGTCACCAGAGCTTGTCATTTTGATAGAAACCCATTACTCCTGTGGTTGCAAATGGGTTTCATCTATTTAAAACATCAGTTTAAATAAGCAGGACTTAACTCACCCATTTGAATTCTTGGGATAGAGATGCTTGCTAAAGCTTCTGTGTCTACACCTGTGATATTAAGGACCTCAGGGACAAACAGTGCTGACAGGAATGGGAACCTCAATCCTACCGCAAGTAAGCAGGAATGAAATGCCGCCAATTCGAGTGAACCTGAAAAAGGACTCTCACCCTAAAATCCCAGAAAATAACTCATAGCAGAAACCTTGATCTCTCCTATTGAGATTCTACACAGGGTAAACAGCTAAACTCAGACTTCAGATGCCACGGAATCTGTGTTCATTTAACTGCTGGGCTTGTTGTGACAGCAACAGGAAACTACTATGCAATGACAAGCAGGACTTTACACTTCCTTGTCACTTAATAGACTCCACTAAGTCGAGAGCAAGAGTACTAAGTTTATGACCACTGTGGTGCTTAACCCCCCCGCCCCGGGCAACAGGTAATGGTAGATTCTTTAAGAGTTATCTTGAGTTGTCGAAGACAGATTAAGTTAGAAAGGGTTCCAATAACATTAAGAACACGATTACAATGAACTTAACTAGAGTGACAGCAAGGCGACAGAGCCACAGAAGTACAAAAGAGAACCAGGAAGACTAAGCAAACAAATAAGAGTGTTGCCTACCAGCAAACCAAGACGAAGCCTTCAGGACTGCCAGGAGCTTGAACAATTCTGGTTTGAAACCACCACCGGGGACCTGAACTAGGCTGGTGACTGCAGGAAGGAAGAAACGCGCTCAAGTTAGGATCAGGAAGGGGTCCGGGGGTGGAGGTGGGGATGGGAGGGGCTAGTGAAAGGAGCAGGAGAAACAGAGAGTGGCCGTCTGCTAGACAGCACGTTTAAATCACTGTAGGACCAGCTATGCTCCAGGCGCCCCCATTAGATGGGCGCGCGGGGCGCGGGGCACCTCCTGGAGCCCGCAGCTAGGCAGAGGGCAGAAGCAGAGAGAAGCTCAGAAACTGCCCCCACCAACCCAAGGACAGCTTCGCACAGTGGATGAAGACAAGTGGGGGGCGGGGGATTAAGAAACAAGCAAGACCAGGGCACCCGGGCACGCTGGCTGGCTGGCGCAACTGGGGGACACCCCCCCCAAACCCGAAGGGCGAGACGCCAGGGGACGCCACGCCCACGCCAGACCCGGGATGCCTCCTGCGGCGCAGCCCGACTGCACTCGGCTCGGCTCCGCGCAGCTCCGGTAACCCCTCGGCCCCTCGCCGCCGTGCAAGGGGAAGGAGAGCGCGCCTTCTGCTCGCCGACCCTCACCTCCGCACCTCGCCCGGCCCTCCGCGATCTGCCGCCAGCAGGGTCGGCCTGCCCAGCCCGGCCAAGCCCTGGAGGTCGACTAGGACGGAAAGCCGCGAGGGTCCCGCCCTGCGCGCGTCGCGGGACGGGATTGGACGGGAGGCCGCGAGGGTCCCGCCCCACGCTGGGAGGGGTGGGCTGCCGAGTCAGGCCGCCCCGGACCTGGCCCCGCCCCCGCCGGCTTCCCCGGCTCGGGTTGCGCTCCTGGCTGCGGACCCCGGGACGCGAGCTTGCCCGCGGTCCAGAGAGACGTCGGAGGCTCCGCCCACGCTCGGGAATCACCCAGTGGGTGAGTGAAGAAGCCCGCGGCTCAGCCTGGTGAGCACCCAACCTCTAGGCGGCGGCTTGGCGCGGCGTCGCTTTCTCTTGTCACGCCCCGGCCGCCCCTCCCCCTCGCGAGTGCGAGCCTCCTTTGCGTGGCCCAAGCGAGAATTCGTGTTCATGCTAGAGTTTTACAGAGGCAGAGGCTTTTTTTTTTTTTTTTTTCTTTGTCTACCCTGTGTGCTGGCAATAGAATAGCAGTCGTACAGATCCGGTTTGGCCTCTGCCTTCCAGACTGAGGTTTGACCAGCTCCCAGCCAGCCCTCTGCTGCAAGCCTTTGGAGTCTCCCAAGAATGGTCCCTATTCAGTCTTGAATTTTCACTGGCCCAAAATGTAGCATTTTTAATCCAGAGTGTAGCCGGGAAAGACTAGAGGAAGACTATGAGATTAATTTAGTCTCACAGGTCAAAGCATTTCCATTTACCCCCCGAAATGAATTGTTTCAACTTTAATCTTATATACACGGTTTATTTCTTCCACGGTTTGATTTTACACGCTGTGCCCTACTTATCCAACAGGGTTTCAAAAAATTCATTTCAATTAATACATTAAAAGCTGCACTCTGTCTTTCCGAATTCCTTTTGATAGTGAAGTCTGCCCTGAACTGTTGAGGCCCTGTGTCATTGAAGGATTTGGTGTAAATAGTCCTACGTTTTCTACAGAATTACTAATGTGATTTATGCCTGTTGAGCTTGCTGGAGGTGTTACGTAATCAAGCTAAGTCATCTAAGTTTAAATTTGCCAAAGTGATTGTGTGATAAATCATTCTGAGTAATGATAAATTTTGCTTACAAGATAGAATTCTTAAACTGATCGAGCTTCTCAGACACCTTCATTGCACTTTCTTTAGTTAAAAAAAAACTCTTTAGAAGTTTATGTATGTTGAGTGTTTGCTGGTGGCAAGGAATCTAGGATCACTGACCGTCACTCTTTCTGTGTGCTTTGTTATGGGGTTAACCCAGGCCTTTATCCAGGGTCTCCACCACTGAGATATTTCCCAGCGCTGCCTTGCTCCCGTCTTCCTGATCTCATCAGAAACAAAGGGTTTCTACAAAGATTTTAGCTTCCCAGAAAGAGAGAAGATGTGCAGGACTGAAGAAAATGAGTGAGACATGGGGTATGTAGGAAAAAATGATTATGTAAGAACAGATAAGCAGATTCCTTAAAACATTTTCTTTCAAATGTATAGTAAATGGTTGCATGTCAAATTTCAAATTGTGTAGTATTCAGATTAAATTTGAACAAGCTTGAATTTCTTAGCACAGGACAGACAGATCTTGATTGGTGAGGAGGATGTTCTAGGAATTTGGAGTATGTTTTATAGCAACAAGTTGTCCCTAGTCTTCCTGCCAGCCGCCATTTGTTGTGGGATTCCCGCCTAGGTCTCATAGCCGCTTTAACCCCCAAATAACACACAGGACGCTATACTAATTATAAAGCTGTTGGCCATTTGCTTTGATTTCTTATCGGCTGGCTCTGACTTAATTATTAACCCATAACTGCTAGTCTAAGTATTTCCACGTGATCTTCTCTTACCAGAGAAAGGGTCCAGACCTCTTACTCCTCTGGCATCCTACATGGTGACTGACTGTACCTCTGTTTCCCAGAATCCTCCACCTCTCCTAGTCCCATCTACCTTGCTTCCCTATTGGCCAACAGTGCTTTATTCATTAACCAAAGAGAGACATATACACAGAAGGACTTCCCCCATCATAGTGGTGATTACAACTTGTTAAAGTTTCTATAAAAATCATTCATTTGTAGTACTGTGTAGCTCTTTTTAAAGATCTTTACCGACAAGTCTGAATACGGTTGACTACAAAAATTATAAGAATATTCTAAATTCTCATTTCTGTCTCCATAGCTGGCTTACTGATAAGACTTGTGGACTTAATGGAGTGTATGGGATACCCTAAAGTTATCCAAAATGAGCAAGTTGAAGAAACACATACTGAAAGGAAAAGTATCAGCTCAGGACCCCATGGCCAAAGGATTGATTTATTTGCGACAGAGGGACAAAGGACAGGGAATAAGAGACAAACACAAGAATATAGAACAAGGCAGAAGGGGAAGGGAACAAGGGAATGGGGGAAGGGACATTTGTCCTGGTGGGACTAAAGACTGCCTCTGGATAGAGAGGAAACAGACTTGGCACATGGGAAAATGGTGGTTTATAAAGTTGGGGGTGAGGTGTTTAATTGTAGTTGGACATGTTAATTAGGTGAGCCAAAGGGGGAGTTTTGATTGCTGGACTTCAATGCTTTGGTGGCTGGACATTCATAGTCAGCCTCAGGAGGAGGAAGTGACCAAATAAGGGTCTATACCTTTGGAGGCTAGCTTTAGGAATGGTAATCTAGCGGTTTTTAGCAAGGCTGAGGGAATGGGGAAGAAGGTCAGGGCCTGCCAGAGCCATGCTCATGAGGCTTAAGCTGGCCAGAGTCCCTTCACTTACAGTTTCTCATTTTTAGTGAGTGGAGGTAGCATACGCCAACAGTAAACTAATTTATGGTAGATACAAATAGATGGTATGAAAAATTAACTGTCTCCTCACGGGGCCTCTGAAAATTACCATCCCTACCAAGAGTACGTGTGCCCTGTTTCACACAGACGCACTCACTTTAGCACTAACGATAGATGTTGATTGCCATTAATGATATTTATATATGTGAACGCCTGCCACCCAAATCCTAGGGGAAGTGTTAGCTTAGCTGTGATCTTCTCATATCTCAGACAAGTCCCTTGCTGCTAAACTGAGCATTTAAATTTTTCCAGCTGCATTGAGATGTAGTTTACATACCAAAAATCACCCCCTTTAAAGTACATAAATAAATAATTTAGTGATAAAACACCCACCAATTCTGTTAGACTGTGTTCCATGGAGGCAGCAACACGGCGATAAAATTAAAGCAAACTGTCCTTTGATCAGAGGTCTCTCCTGTTGTGTCCCCTATCTCAGAGCTGCAAACACGGATAGATGCTGTGTTTATCTTACCAGGAGCTTGCAGATCCTAGCCTGCAGAAGCTGTTAGCAGCATGTTGGGTTGCCTATGCAGAGTTCCTCAGCTCACCTGAGGTGTTATTAGCTCTTGAAGAAGGGGCTGATTTGCCTCACACTTCCACATCCAAGGCCTTCCGGAAGGGGAGACTGTGGAAGAATGCAGCTATTCGCTGGCTCCCTCAGCCTGCTTTCTTCACTCAGGACTGCCTCCCAGAAAGCCATATCACATCCATCAGGAAATGTCCCACAGACATGTCCACAAGCTCATCCGGCGGAGGCCGTTCCTCAACTGAAGGTCCTTCTTCCCAGGTGACTCTGGTTTGTGCCAACTTGGCAAAACTAGCCAGCACACAGTCGTAATGTGATTTTTAGAACATTTTTGTCATTCCCCCAAAGAAATACCATTAGCAGTCGCTCAGTATCCAGCCCTACCCTCAAATGTACTTTCTGTCACTGTAGATTAGATTTACCCAACCCAGGCACATTGTCTGAGCTGAATCATACATTATTTGACCTTTTGTAGTTAGAATTCTTTTACTTACATTCTTCTGATGCATCTATGTTTTAACCTATAACAATATTTCTTTCTTTTATATTTTTTATTTTTAAATTTAAATTTATATTAGAAACAAGGTTGCTTCACATGTCAATCCCAGGTCCCTCTCTTTTTTTCCTCCCCTCCTCCCGTGCCCTCCCACCAACCCCTCCAATATCCCCTCATTTACCCAGGGAGGGTGAGGCCCTCCATGGGTGTGTCCATAGTCTGTCATTTCATCCAGGGTAGGGCCGAGAGTACAGGGTGAGACTGCTTCTCTCATTGTTGGATAGGAGCCCAAAATCCATTTGTATACCTGGGATAAACACTGATCTACTACCAAAGGCTCAATAGATTACCTAGGCCTCCTCACTGACAGCCACATTCAGGGGGTCTTGATCAGTCCCATGCTGGATTCCCAGGCATCAGTCTGGGATTCAAGAGCTAACCCTTGTCAGGTCAGCTGTTTCTTGGGGTTAAACCAGCCCAGTCTTAACCCCTTTGGTCATCAGTCCTCTCTCTCTGTCACTGGATATGATGAGTTCAGCTCAGTTCTCAGCCATGGGAGTCTGCCTCTTCTTCCTTCTGCCACTGAATGAAGGTTCTGTTTCCCAGACTCTCTGGCCATGGGATTGTAGGCTGGCACTCCCCAGATCTATGTCTAAAATCCATATATGAGAGAGTACATGCCATGTTTCTCTTTTTGTGACTGGGTTACCTCACTCAGGATGGTTTCTTCTAGTGCCATCCGTTTGCCTGCAAATTTCAGGATTCCATTGTTTTTTTCTGCTAAATAGCACTCCATTGTGTAAATGTACCACATTTTCTCTATCCACTCTTTGGTTGAGGGGGGGACATCTAGGTTGCTTCCAAGTTCTGGCTATTACAAATAATGCTGCTATGAACATAGTGGAACAGATGTCCTTGTTGTATGAATGTGAGTCTTTGTATATATGCCTAAGAGTGGAGTTGCTGGGTCTTGTGGTAGGTTTATTTCCATTTTTCTGAGGAATCTCCATACTGATTTCCAAAGTGGCTGTACAAGTTGGCACTCCCACCAGCAATGGAGGAGTGTTCCCGTTTCACCACAACCTCTCCAGCATAAATTGTCATTGGTGTTTTTGATTTTAGCCATTCTGACAGGAGTGAGATGGTATCTCAGAGTTGTTTTGATTTGCATTTCCCGGATGGCTAAGGATGTTGAGCACTTTCTCAAGTGCCTCTCAGCCACTTTAGACTCCTCTATTGAAAATTCTCTAGTTCTGTAGCCCACTTTTTAATTGGATCCTTTGGTGTTTTGGAGACTTTCTTCTTGAATTCTTTGTAAATTTTGGAGATCAGCCCTCTGTCAGATGTAAATGAATATCTTTTCCCATTCTGTGGACTGCCTTTTTGTCTTGCTGACTGTGTCCTTTGCCTTACAGAAGCTTCTCAGTTTCAGGATGTCCCATTTATTAATTGTT